GCGCCGTCCCGGGGCCTCCCAAGCCGGACCCACCGAGCGCAAGGGCGATGGGCACAGCCAGACCCTGGGGGAACGAACAGGCCTCGGCCAGCATTCAGTGGGATCCGACAGGACGGAAGGAGCGGCGGACCCAGTGGACGTGGAGCCGCTGTGTCCGTGCTGCCAGCGCCCAGGTGGGCTGGCCGCCCGCCGTCCTCCCTGACGGTGGCATTTCAGAGGACTCCGGTCCTGGAGAGGCACCCCTGGGTTGCAGAGAACACAGACATTTCGAAGGGACAGGGAAGGACACACCGTTGTAAGCCCCTCTTAGTAAACGCTCTGAGGAGGAGAGGCCGGGCCAGTTCCCAGGTGTCGTCCTGAGCAAACTGCCCTCTTTTGTCAGCCCTCAGCTTTCCTGGGGGGGACCTCAGAGGGGGCTGGGTGGGCCCAGGGCGCGGCCTTGGGCTGCCAGAAGCCACGCTAGGGTTGGTCAAAGCTCTCAGTGCAAGGTTTGGACAGAGTCGTTGTGTGCTGCGTTCTGCCATTGTCAGCTGTCACCTGCAAACCTGTCTAGCTCCCCTTAGGGCTTGGTGGGCAAATAGTGTCAGTGATGTGTGTCCACAGCCTCGGGAAACACTTCAGGTCCACGTTTGCGTGTGTTGTCACTAGATCTCCGCGCTTCCAACTGAAAGGCTTCAGCACCTCACGTGGTCGGTCCCATGCTTGTCCTCTTAAATACTCTTGAACTCTGTTCTGTCCTGAAACTGAATAATGCAAAAATGGGTGGTTCCAGTTTTCATCCCTATAAACTCTACATCTTTGTGCCAGTAAGTAAGCATGAAACAAATAAGTACATTTGCCGTTAGCGAACATAAAACACACGACATCGGTCGGTTCTTGGGGAGCGATGGAGCCAGTCAGGCTGAGCGGCTGTCACTCTGCCAATCCGGGCTCTTGGGAGGTGGAACCATTCATAGTCCTCTGCGTGGAAAAGGGCTTGCCTGGGCCTTGTTTGGCTTTGCTAGTCAGTAGGTAGGTACAGGAGAGGTACTTTCAAATAGCCTTACGTGCTGGTAAGTGCAGGGAGGCTGGGGGCTGTGTCCCATCGTAACCCAAGTGGCACAGCTCCTCTGTGGAGAACCGCCACTGATTTGCCTCTTCTCCAAGGCTGTTCGTCCCTGACTGTTGACAGAGGACCCTGCTGCAGCCTCCCTGTGGCCAGTAGCACGGTTCTCACCCCTTCCCAGGCCTCTCTCCGGCCATGTCAACAGCGAGAGGTGGGCCGTTTCCATCCCCTTTGGAGGGGTGTGGATCCACCCCTGTGGGAGATGGCACCTCATCACAGCGGGGCTCTTGTTCCCTTTCAGCTCCCGATTCTTCTGAAGGGGACGTCGGATGATGATGTCCCATGTCCGGGCTACTTGTTTGAGGAGATTGCTAGTATCCTTCCTCGATGTACCGTGTGGGGGAAAGAACAGATGGCAGGGCCCAGAGTGGTGCGAAGGGTTCCCGGGGAATCTGCTGTCCCTAGAGGGATCCGCAGCTCCTTTATCATTGTAAGCAGCCGTGGGTGGGGTCTGAAGGCTGCAGTACTGATGGCACAGGAGACCTGAGAAGCCCTGCGCTCCTGACGGCAGAGCCTGCAGGAGGCGCCTCCAGGGAGCATGGACTGAGAGGTCCCAGGGCCCAGTCTCCCTGTGGCCCCGCGCAGCCTTCACCATCTCGCCCTTCCCTAACCCGAGCGTGCCACAGAAATCTCCCACGAGTCTCCGGGCAGCAGCCAGTGCCTGCTGGAGTACCTCCTGAGCCGCCTACACAGCAGCTCCGGCCACGGGAAGCTCAAGGTGAGCCCCTGGGTGGTCAAGGGTCAGGCCCGAGGCCTGGCCCATGGTGGTGAGGCTAGAGGAGCAGATGAGCGGCCCAGGGTGGCAAGCAGCTCTGTGCCCTTTGGGTGCCCTGGGCCCTGCCCTGGGCGTCCCGTGTCCGGCCCGCCCAGCACTGCTGACCGCCCCACTCCCCAGGTGCTGAAGATCCTGCTCTATCTGTGCAGCCACGGCTCCTCCTCCTTCCTGCTCATCCTCAAACGCAACTCTGCCTTCATCCAGGAAGCTGCAGGTACAGGGGCTTTGGACAGTGCGGGAGGGTGGCAAATCCTCCGGGCTTGTGAAGGAAGACTTCAGCCAGAGCCCTCACCTGGGCCTGGTCCCCGTCAAAGCCCCGCGTTGCTGATCCTGGCCCATCCCTGGCCTCTCCACCTGCTGCCCACCCACACCCCAGCTGGCCGACTCGGCCTCCCCTGATGTGCCCTGCCCCTCCCTCCGCTGGGTCCTCCGTGCCTCCTGTGTGTCCCTGGGCCTTCAGCTGCGACTGTCCCTGTGCTTGCTGCCCCGGTTGCCATTGTTTGTTTCTCTGTGTGCCCCGCGGGTCTTCCCCTCCATCCCAGTGCCCACACGTAGCAGACTCAGTGCCTGTTCACACGTCCTCCTCAGGCTGTGGGTTCTTGTTCTAGGGCTGCTCCTCAGAGCCCAAGACAGAGAGAAGCCATGGGAGGGCGGGACTGGGAGGCAGGAGAGGCGGGGCCCCGGCCAGTCGGTCTGTCCAGGCAGCAGGTGGGTCTGGGGGAGCTGTCCCGCAGGCAGGGGGGCAGTCCCGTGTGCCTCTGCCTAATGAGGACTTGTGGGGGCTTGGCCTGAGATCTTCCATGGGGCTCCAGGTGGTCACTGGGCACACCATGTCTGGACCCCAGCCCAGCCCCTGAGAGGGGAATTCTGGGGAGGGAGACTGAGTCTCTGTCGTGCCGCTGCTTGCTTATGGAGACCCTGAGCGTGTCCATCCACTGGGCTCACCCCAAAACCGGCATCGAAACCAGTGTTGCCCCACTTTGTGACAAGTGGGCATGCAGCTCTAGGTGTCCCTCAGGGGCCAGTGCTCTGGGCCACCATCGACAGTTGTGACACATGACTTAGGCGGTAGATGCCCCTGAAGGAACGGCTGTGTGAGGGTGCTCTTGCCATCCTAATAGAGCTCCTCACAGCTTTGGGGCCAAGGCAGTACCAGCCATTTATCCTCACCATTCAGCGGGTCAGAGGGCCCCGGGCTCCCAGGCCACTCCCGTGGCTGTGGTTGGTGCATGTACGTTGTGGCTTCAGTGGTCTCGGGGACATGCCCTGGGGTGGGGGCTGCAGCAGGTGGGGGGATGGGACATGGCAGGCCCCGAGGATGGGAAAGGCTGTTCTTCAGACCCTGGGTTCTTGTTGGCACTAGAGTCTCTCCTGTGCAGAGGCAGTTGTGGATGATGGCTGTCGCCTGCCGTGCCTGGGCACTGGCCCTGGGCGGCGCACAGGCTGTGGGAGGTGTCACGACAGCCCCATGAGGAAGGCGGGCGCCAGATGCTGCACGTGAGAGACGGGGCGCCCCCCGCCAGGCGGCGAGTGTGCAGTGAGGATGGCCCACCCCACGCACGCAGAGCGTCAGAAAGAGGAAAGAAACACAAAACGCAGCTGGCAGTTAAAGACAGGTTTTCTGTTTTGTTTTTTTTTTTTTGAGATGGAGTCTG